AGGTGTTCAGGCTGACGTGGAACTAACTGGCCTGAAGGAGATAACGGAAAAAAACAGATTTTAAGACAGGATTTTTTTTTAAGACAGAAATTTTCTAAATTTTGGGACAATATGGTCTGATAAAGAGAACATTTAGATACATGTTTAAGCCAAAATGATTTGACATTTAAATATGATTTCCCTCTGACTTTAAGTCAAGAATTTTTAACCAAATATATTTAACTTGGAGCTATGAGGCTAGGACGCCGTCTTTCTCCCTCCAGCCCTATAGGTGGCGCTATGGTGCTTTAAGTTTGCCGACATGCAGAAGGACGGACAGTTTTTAGCTAGGACCAACTTTCCAACGTTACAGTAAAACAATGGACTCTGATCCAGAGAACATTGAAGGCCGTTAAAAATAATGAAACTCAACATGTTCGTGATTTTAATTCAACCTTTCCCTGTAAACAAATTAGATTTTTGCTAATTTCACGTAATTAAATAAAGAATAAAAATCTCTCCTAAAGTCCAGGAGAGAGCTGCGTTCTAGAGGCCAACCAGCCTATATTGTTTAGCTTCCTGCCATGAGGCAGCAGCCGCCTCTCCGGGAGCTTTGGCCTCCATCTTGGCGGCCATTCGATGGAAGGACAGCAGGAATAAAGAGGCCGCTCTGATGGCGGTGGACGCTCTGCTGAGGGGGGGGAAAGTCGCTGACTATTATGTCACCACTGTGCTTTAATTGTCACTCTGTTGCATTTTTAGAGCTTTTAACTCAAAGGAAAAGTGAAATCTGAATCTATTTTTCTTTATTCAGCAGTGAGCCGTTTTCTGCTGCGTTGGGCGGAGCTGATGAAAAGAAACTGGACCATGCTGATGTTTCTGGTCCTTTCCATCAGACCAGGCAGCCATTTTTCATTTTAAGTACTTATACTGACGCACAGAAAGATCTTCATGCATGAGCTTTAGTTTCCGTAGATGCGACCCTGGTTCTTAAAGCCAATAACAGCTGAGAAAAAGCTTCCCTAGAACAGCTGCAGGGAGGATGGAGCGCACAGAGCCACTCCATGAAAACCAGCAGCCTGAGGTAAGCGTTACCTGGAGAGCTCCAGCTTCTGCTGCTCCAGAATCCTCTGCTGAAGCTCCCAGGTGGACTTCTCCTCCTCATACTGACGCCGTTTCTCCTCCAGCTCCTTATACTGAGCCTCCAGGTTCTTCTTCATTTGCTCATGGCGCTTCTGGAGCTGCAGAGAAAACAGGATCCATCCTGAGGTCTGCTGAGAAGGTTCTGGTGGATGCACCACCGTCTCCACGCTGAGCCTACCTCAACCTCAGAGTCTTTGAGCTTCTGGAGCTTCTCTTTGACCTTCATTTCAAACACCTGCTCCATTTCCTGCTCCATCTTCTTCATCTTGGCCACGTGTTCCCGCCGCTCCTCCTCCATCTGAGCCAGAGGACTCCTGCAGACATGGAGAAAGGTTCACACACACACACACAGCGGCTGCAGGAGCCTGATGCCTGCTGGCATCCCAGAGGAAGCAGAGCATGAAGAACCAGAGAAGGAGGAGAAGCCCGTCGCTGGGGCCGTCTGTAGCAGAAGGCTTCCAGGGACGGCTGGAACAGAAGCTGCAGCGGTTTAACAGCCTGGAGCTCAGCAGAGATCAGAGAAGGTCTGATTGGTCCACAGGAGCAGTGGCTTTAGCGCCGACCTGATCTCCTTCTGATCTTCAGCAGGATCAGATGAATTCTGACGCCCATTAGAGAAACAGAAGCGTTCCATGAAGTCTGGAAGGTTTGGAAAACGCAAGATCCTTAGAAGGACCTGCTGGACTCCAAAATCCTCCTCCTCCTAAATCTCTGCCTCCCTCCACCACTGATAGCTGCTAACATCGTTAGCTTAGTGGGTTCCAAATACTATCTCTCTCATCCAGAGGACTTGGCTCTAATTGGCCCAATGAGCGTCAGGCGCTACTTCCTGGTTCTCCAGCTGGATCCTCTGACACCTTCTGCTTCCAGCGTTTGTAAAACAGAGCGGCGAGGAACATTCCTGTTTTTAGCTTTAGTTGATAAGAGATGGACAGAGTGAAAGCTGAGCAGCTGAAACCAAAGCATGAAGCAACAGGTGGGGGAGGGGCTGTAGTGAGGTGAACACTTACATGTCGTCAGGTGTGTCAGGTCTAAAACAGAGACAGAAAGAAAGGCACAAACACTTAGCATGCTGCCGTCATCCATGCATTAGCTGGTGATGGGGGGGGTGTGTGTGGGGGGGGGGGTTAGTGGCGGGTCAGACCAGCGCTCCACTGGACGCCTAAAGGCCTAAAGGCCTCGGCTCCACGCAGCCTCACTCACTTGGTCAGCTGGTTCTTGCTGTTGTTGTTGTCCACGCCATTGTAGGTGACGGCAGCCAGCTTCCTGCTGCGGTAGTTCTCATAGTGGACGTTGTTGGTCACGTCCTTCAGGTCCTGCATGTGGGTTCTAGAAAACAGAGGAGAATGGAGCCCGTTAGCCTCAGGTGGGGGGGTGGAGGAGGATGAGGAGGAGGAGGAGCCTCTGTCAGGTCATCCGGTTAAAGAAGCCGCTACTCACCGTATCAGCATGTTACGCAGGATGGTAAAGTCACAGTGATCTCCATTTTCAACTGCAGGAGAGAAACACGGTGGAAAGGAGGTTAACTATGGGGGGGTGGGGGCGTCATAATAATTCAATAAACATGAAGCAGCAGCAGCTCAGAGGACAGCCCGCCTCCTGCTGCAGTACCACAGCCTGCCACAGGGTGCCGCCACAGTCTCTGCAGTCCTCTGAGCTTCCTCTGTGGTGCAGAAACATGTTTGGTATTCCAGAACTTCCAGAACTTCCCAGCTGCCCCGCGGGCCCGGGACCGGACCGGCCCGGCTCAGCCCTCCCCCCCCCAGCAGCTGCCTGGGTTTTCTGTTCAGGGACTCGGTTTCTGCTGATCCGGGTGGATCTGCTCCGCTGCTCTAGAGGCTGCAGATGTTCGTCTCCCCGCAGACTGACTGCAGCTTCCTGTGTCACGTCAAACATTTCCTGAAGCAGTGACACCTGCAGCTTCTCACCGCTCCCTGCTTCTGCTCAACCAGGCTGTCATTCTGGTACCTTTAGAAGCACCTCTATCATCAATCCGTCTGGACATTTTTCTAGAATGCAAACTAAGAGGAACCCTGAAGGCCCTGCTATGGTCTAGATCCAAACATCAAAGCGTCTGAATCTCATCCTCTCATATTCAGAAAAGCAGAAGAAGTCTCTTTAGTTCAGTAACGGGTAGGAACCATCATGGCTGGCTCTCTCACCTTCAGCCACGCCCCAGGGGTACTGCCTCCCACGGACCCGCTTCCCGTTGACCTCGATGATGGTGTTGCTACCGACCACAGCTAGCGGCAGACGGTCCTGCAGAGGGAGGAGAACCGTGAGATAGACGCAGCAGAAAGATCAGCTGAGGATCAACGGATGGAGGGAGGAGCAGACCTTGATCCTTCTGATCATCTTCATCTCCTCCTCGTCATCAGTCTCTGGGAAATCGTAGATTTTGATTTTATGCTCATGGATCTCCTTCATGATCTGCGTGGGACACAGAGGAGCAGGAGAGACGGTGAGATGAGCTCCATGTGGGACAAACGTCCAGAAACATCAACGCTCCCCCTGGGTGGGGTGAGGACGCTGCTCCCAGACCCACACAGGCTCATCACCAGACAGAACCAAGGGTGTAAACGCTCTGCAAATACATAAACCAAACCCTGGATCATCTCCCCCTAGTGGTCTGGAGCCTTTCCAGTCTGCAGCTTATCTCCCCTTTCAGCTGGTTTTGTTACCTGCTGCACCTCGTCTTCCTCTGCCTTCTAGGAAAGCATCATTTTCACCGTTTGAGAAGAATTCATCCTGATCAGATTTAAACCATCTGCTGTGCAGCATCATTTAAGAGTTTGCTCACCTTATCTTTGTCTTGGTGCTACTTTTTGTATTTGCAGCACATTTGCACCCATTAGCCACCTTATAGCAGGAGGATCCCTGCCTGAAGGCTGTGAGTTTAACACACATTACAGACGGTCCTGCAGAGCCCGCCAGTCTAGATGGACAGCATGTGTGTGTGTGTGNCGCCAGTCTAGATGGACAGCATGTGTGTGTGTGTGTGTGTGTGCGCGCATGCACTGTCTGGGCATCAGAGCGAGGACCTTATAACTGAACCTCACCTATGATAACCCTAGCTAGGCTCTGGTAATGGTCAGGGTTAGTTAGACTCTGGTAATAGTCAGGGTTAGTTAGACTCTGGTAACGGTCAGGGTTAGTTAGGCTCTGGTAACGGTCAGGGTTAGTTAGACTCTGGTAATAGTCTGGGTTAGTTAGACTCTGGTAACGGTCAGGGTTAGTTAGGCTCTGGTAACGGTCAGGGTTAGTTAGGCTCTGGTAATAGTCAGGGTTAGTTAGACTCTGGTAATAGTCAGGGTTAGTTAGACTCTGGTAACGGTCAGAGTTAGTTAGGCTCTGGTAATAGTCAGGGTTAGTTAGACTCTGGTAACGGTCTGGGTTAGTTAGGCTCTGGAAACGGTCTGGGTTAGTTAGGCTCTGGAAACGGTCTGGGTTAGTTAGGCTCTGGTAACGGTCTGGGTTAGTTAGACTCCGTTAACGGTCTGGGTTAGTTAGACTCTGGTAA